GATTTCAGAGAGGGAGGGAGGGAGGGAGAGAGGGAGGGAGAGAGAGAAAGAGAGAGAGAGAGAGAGAGAGAGAGAGAGAGAGAGAGACCATCAATCATGAGAGAGAATCATTCATTGGCTGCCTCCTGCATGCCCCCTACTGGGGATCAAGCCTGCAACCCGGCCATGTGCCCTTGACCGAATTGAACCCAGGACCCTTCAGTCTGCAGGCCAACGTTCTATCTACTGAGCCAAACCGGATAGGGCTGGGGTTTCTTTGTGTTGTTGAAAATATTCTAAAATTGATTGTGATGATGACTACAGAACTAAATATATTAAAAACCAGTGTACTGTACACTTTTAAAAAAAATTAAGAAAAGGAAGTAGCAATCCAAGCCATAACCTGTTAGGTCTGTCTTGATCAGTACTTGGTTCACATACATTGGCCCTAGAAAAAGTTTTTGCTCACCCACAAAAAACTTTTTTATCAATTTAAACAATCTTGTAATAAATTTTTCATAAAGGTAACATTTTTGTATTCAATTCATATTTTATTTAATTTAAAGATCTCTTCTTTATTCTGATATTGTGGCTTTCCTATTTTTATGGTGTTTAGATGCTCTTTCTCTTACCAGCTCTATCCACTAAGCCAAACTGGTTAGGGCTGTACTTGTTATTTTTAACATCAATATTAGACAAAATACAAAAGTTGGCACTCCTACACTGATGTCCCTATTTTTTATTTTAAATTTTTGATCAGAGCAAAAAACCTGGGAACCATTGGTCTAAATAACACACATGCCACTTTACGAATTGGTCCCAATACATTCTGGGATGTGATGATGGAAATTTCACACTTTCTGAGTTAAGAGAAGAAATAATTCTAAGGCCATAAACTTATATCTGAATGCAAAAAATAACTACCTAAAACTTAAACAAGCATGCCTACCACAGAATAAATTTAAGTACAAAACCAGCTATTTTAAAGAAAAGAAAAGGAAAAAAAACACAACCAGCTGTTGCTAGGCCAGCAGGGTGCAGTGACTGTGTCGACCTATGAACCAGGAGGTCACAGTTCGATTCCCAGTCAGGGCACATGCCCGAGTTGTGGGCTTGATTCCCAGAGTGGGGTGTGCTAGAGGCAGCTGATCAATAATTCTCTCTCATCATTGATGTTTCTGTATCTCCCACTCCTTTCCTCTCTGAAATCAAAAATAAATTAAAAAAAAAAAACACACCTGTGAAAAAAAGTTTTTTTAATCTCTTTTCTGAAGCATTAATGGGTACAGTCTCATGCACTGAAAAACACAGTCCAACAAAGCCCATCTTTATCCTTTCATTCTATACCAGTGATGGCGAACCTATGACACGCGTCAGAGGTGACACGCGAACTCATTTTTTTGGTTGATTTTTCTTTGTTAAATGGGCATTTACATATATAAAATAGATATCAAAAATATAAATCTTTGTTTTACTATGGTTGCAAATATCAAAAAACTTCTATATGTGACACGGCACCAGAGTTAAGTTAGGGTTTTTCAAAATGCTGACATGCCGAGCTCAAAAGGTTCGCCATCACTGTTCTATACTATCAGCAGCCTGTGTCCTATTCGTATGGGCGTATACACATGGCACTAATCAGTATCCGACTAAATCAAGAGCATTCCTTCTACAATCTTGTCTCTAAAAGCTGGCTTTCATACAGACCTGGTAATAGGCTTTCTTGATCTCTTTCTGGCTGGCATTTCGGGGCACTCCTAATATCTGGTAATAATCCTCTTTGGCCAGAGGGGTACTCTTGTGGAAAGAGGCAGTACAAACAAAAGGGTAACTTTTTACTCCTAAAAAAGAAAAAAGAAAAGAAAATCACTCAGGGAATATGCTCAACAAAAGGAAATTGTGAGTAAACTAGCCAGGTTATACCTGTGAAGTAGCAAATAGATCACAACTTTAGAGCCTGTTCTCCACTGCACTTCAAAAATGGCTAAGGTGCCTGGCTGGTGTGGCTCGATGGTAGAGCGCTAACCTATGAACCAGGAGGTCACGGTTCGATTTCAGGTCAGGGCACATGCCCGGAGTTGTGGGCTTGATCCCCAGTGTGGGGCGTGGAGGAAGCAGCCAATCAATGATTCTCTCTCATCACTGATGCTTCTAAGCCTCTCCCCCTCTCCCTTCCTCTCTGAAATAAATTTAAAAATATGTGTGTGTGTGTGTGTGTGTGTGTGTATTTATTTTAAATGACTAAGGCCAGCACAGCTGGTGTGGCACAGCGGTTGAGCATTGATCTATGAACCAGAAGGTCACAGTTAGATTCCTGGTCAGGACACATGCCAGGGTTTCGGGCTCAATCCCCGGTGTGGGGCATGCAGGAGGCAGGCGATCAATGATTCTCTCTCATCATTGATGTTTCTTTCTATCTTTTTCTCCCTTCCTCTCTGAAATCAAAAATATATTTTTTAAATGGCTAAGGTCACTGTATACAAAGATTTTAAAACATGTCAATATAAAACTGCGTGGGGCTGATCCTCCTGGATTAAACTACCAATGTAGCTCATTAAACCACCAAACAAACCGTACCCCAGATGGGGGCTGCACCTGAAGATGACTAAAAAGGGAGTTAGCTCCCGTTACACTGCTTGAGAACGCACCACGTGCCAGGTATTTTCATAGACTTTATCTCACTCAATGCTTAGTAATTAACTCCTCAGGTTCTTTCCCTCTACCAAGCAACCCTGGATATCTGCTCACGGGGTAGGGTGGTGCCAGAGTGTGGTCCCAGGAACAGCAGCATCAGCCTATTACAAACGCACATTTTCAAAAACTCTGAAGGTGGCTCCCAGCAGGCTGTGTTCAACAAGCCTTCCAGGTGATGATCCTGTTGAATGCTCAAGTTTGGGAACCACTATGTTAACTAAGTGGTTCTCAGTAGTCTTTAGAGTCGCAGAGAATCTAATAAAAGCATTGATCTCCTCCCCTAAAAATAATACATGTATAGACACACAAGACTAAAAAGCTCTGTGCCAGAACCTCTGTTTACCAGAGCAGACAACCTGAAAGGAATCAAAGCAAAGGCAGGCGGCCATATGCCCTGCCTCTTTTCAGGCCTCTTGCATCAGCAACTAGGTGGAAAGGCCAACAGACACAGCTACTCAGCTGCCCTTTGTGCATGAAGCAGAGCGCTAACATCACTGTCACAAAGTGAAGCCTGGGGAGCTGCTCTATAATCTCTAGTGCTGCTCCTAACACACAACCCATCCTGTGACAACTGGAAGAAAGGGGAAGGGGGGGGGGGCGGGGAGTTAAGGCAGAAGGGCTAAAAGGGTCAAAAATGAAGATCATGAGGCAGCTACGTTTTTAAGTCAAACATTAGTCTGGAGAGGGTAAGCTTCTGTATTCAGCATTCATTCATTCATTCATTCAGCAAATGCTCACTGAGCCCCTACCAAGCACTAGACTTTACACTGGGGAAATGACAGCAAGCCATTCAAAGGCACTGCCCTCCTGGAAATTATATTTACTCAAGATCTTAAACCACTGTACCAGGCACTGAGGATATAAGATGAGGAAAAGAGTCAAAACCAATGCCTCCAAGTTCAGCAGTCCCACGGGGCAGTCTGGAAGGCAGTGTGAAGATATATTGGCACAAGGACAGCAGAGTGAGAAATACACAAAAGGTTCACCTCACCAGGGTTTCTCAACCTCCCACAGCGGAGGATGGGATCAGTTTCAGCAGGGGACGGAAGTAGGAGCTGTCCTATTGTTGGTCAAAACCATTTTAAGCCCCACCTGCAAATCCCTATGTTAACATCCTAACCTCCAGCACCTCAGAAGGTGAATGTATTTGGTGATAGGATCTTTGAAACAATCCTGACAAAACACTGACCTTGGACTTCTAGCCTCCAGAACTAGGGAAAAAAGGGAAATATGTTTCTGTTGTTTAAATCACCCAGTTTATAGTACTTTGTTATGGTGACCTTAGCAAACTAATATACCTAGTATGTATTATAGGATGTTTGGTAGCACTCCTGGCCAACTAGTTACCAGTAGCATCACCTACCCCTTCTCCCGCTCTATGGTTGGCAGCTAAAAAATGACATTACTACACATCCCTAGGAGGGTAAAAATCACTCCACTGGCAACCCCATCTAAGAAGTGCAGGGAAGGTCTTCTAAGGCTCCTGCTGTTAAACTGTAGACTAAGGAGGGGTCTAAATCCATCCAGATTTACCCCGGTCGTCCTGACATTATCTGCAACAGCATCCCCTTTGGCTTTCAAAAGTGCCCTGTTTGGGGACTAAATCATATGATCACCTTTGGTTTAGAGGGAGTGGCTCATTCCTGTGCACTTAGGAACTGCAGGTACTAGACTCCAGACATGTGTGCATGTGAGGCTCCAGCCTCTGTATGGTGTTTGCAGTGATGGCAGGGATGATGGTTAGAGGTGGGGTGATTAGAAATGATGATGATTAATGGGGCCTAGAAATAAACAGAAGGGCTTTAAGCTATGCTAAGAGTCTAGATTTTATACTGAGGGCAATAGGAAGCCACTGCAAGTGTTAAATAGGGAAGCGATCAGGTTTGCATGAGGAAGAGCTCTCAAAAACAAAGCAAATAACAAAATAAACAAACAAGGAAGACTGGGACACTACTTAAAATTAATCTGAGCATAAAAGACAACCAGGGTGTTAAGCATATGGAGGAAGGAGGCAAGATAAGGGATAGCCTGTGCTCGCTTCGGCAGCACATATACTAAGATAAGGGATAGCCTAGACTCGGTTAGTTGGAGCATTGTCCTGTACTCCAAAAGGTTGTGGGATTTCTGACCAGAGCACATACTGGCTAGGGAAATAACTGCCTTCTTTCTGTGCTTGGGAGAAAAGTCAAATTTAAAGTGTTTCTCTGTCACCTAATTGTACTACTTGATTTGAGATGAAGTCGCAGACCAGTATTTGGGAGCTAAGTTGATGACTTTAGATGTGATATCAGAATGCACTCTGAAGGATGCCACCTCTCACCTGATACAAAACATACCTATTTTGGGCTGTGGGCTCTCTTGGGATACCAATAAAAGGATAGCTGAGCGCAGTTCCTTAATAATGGCTGCATAGAAGGCTCAGCACTTAATACTTGCCTGTCTGTCTGTCTGTCTGTCTCTCTCTCTCTCACACACACTGCTTTCCAGCCCAGGCAGTGTGCTCAGTGGTTGAGCATCAACCCATGAACCAGGAGGTCATGGCTGGATAACCGGTCAGGGCACAAGCCCAGTACTGCAGGCTGGATCTCCAGTAGGGGGTGTGCAGGAGGCAGCTGGTGGATGATTCTCTCTCACCACTGATTTTCTCTCTCTCCCTTCTTCTCTCTGAAATCAATAAAAACATGTTTTTTAAAAAATGCTCCCCAACTTGTACAAATGTAATATGAACAATTTTTTTGTTGTTGTTGTTGTTAATCCTTACCCGAGGATATTTTTCCATTGATTTTTTTTTTTTTTAGAAAGTGGACGAGTGAAGGAAAGACAGAGAGAAATACATTGATTGGTTGCCTCCTGCACGCACCCTGACCAGGGCCCGGGCCCAAGAGGAGCCTGCAACCAAAGTACGTGTCCTTGACCAGAATCAAACCCAGGGCCATTCGGTCTGCAGACTGATGCTCTATCTACGGAGCCAAACCAGCTAGGGCTGTAATATGAATAAATTTATCTAGACATTAGAAAATGTTAGCAAAATATAAAAATGGCCACTTTTACTCATACTGAGAAATATAAAATCACACCACTCCAAATAATCCTGGGCAGACGACTGCTCCATCTACGAGGCAATACAGATGGCAAGAACAAAATTTAAAAAATGGGATAACTTGAACAAAATCACAGCCAATCTTGTATTCCCCAATACCCAGAACAGTGGCTTTGGCATAAGACACTCTCAGTAC